TAGAAAACTATTATAACCAAGTTTCAAAGTTGTGGAGTAACAGTGGATACGATTACGGATAACAACTTATTTGAAATATCATCCTATGAGTGATACTGTTCCATTGTATGATACAAAAAGCGAATAAGGAATTATGCACTACTACCAAGGTCTCTAAGCTCTCCCTATAAGTGATATTCAGAAAATTCAGTGGATAAAACTATAAAACCGGCAGCAAAAAGTCAGTGAAAACATTAACAATGTGAAATAATAACATTTAACTAGAACCTGTCATTTTGAATGTTGTTGTTTTACCGAACATTGAACACCTGAACGATCAATTTAAAGTTGATGTTTGAAACAACTCTACACATTGGCAGTTCAATAAATCATTTCAGTATAGCCATGTATGCCAACTGCTTATTCGATCTAGATACTTCTACTTACTAGCAAAGATCACAAGTGTATACCACACCTCTCCAATAACACTTTATAAAAACTGAAAGTAACTTATTTCAATAATCAAGCCAGTTGTGGGATCATTTTCTGGACACAGTATTAATACTGGTTATTACTAAGTATTCTGCAAATATTACCATCTGATAGTGAACTTTTTCCCATCATGCAAGGTGATCTTCACACTAATTGTTTGTCGGACTAAGAGGACAAAATGACAGTGGTCACATTCATCCTATTTCATATATTACTGCATAGCTGTAAATAGAAGGTCATTATTCTTTCCTTACTTTTCAAGTGAAAGACATAGCTTCAAGCCTGAGTCTTGAAGTTTTAGCACTAGTGGTTTTATTTTCACTTGGTAGAATTACTGGCTTCACGCCCAGTCTTCCTTCTTTAACGGACTTACTACGGCTTAACTGAGGTTTAGGAGCGGAGACGGCCGGGGATCGAACCCTGAGCCACATGCATGTTTAGTAAGCATCCTACCGCTCCACTACTGATACACAAATAGAATGTTACTGTTTACTTATCATAAAACATTTTCTACAAGAAATCTTAAATTTGATTATCAGTTATGCGACAAATATCTTCGAGGTTAAAGCCTTAAAGTGCAATAAAAGTGGATTCATAGTCAACTTTGAAAGAATACTTGAACTAAATAAAGCTATAGATTTGATGCAAATCAAAAATAAAAAGTAATTTCACGCCATACTTTGAATATGTTAGACAACAATCACCATATCGTAAATTCACAGACTAGAAAGTTCAATACACCACAAATAGTCAGGAGAATAGTTCTACTTTTATTAGTATATATTTTACAAAAACAAAAACCAGTTAGAGGTTAACCTGGAAAAAAATAACTATTAACACAAACTATTATAATAATCACCAGTTTAAATTTATGTACAAAGCTGCAACCGATTTGTGAGTAGCCTACACAGCGTTTGCATTATGAATATTCTAAATTCAAATGTATCAGTCAGTTGTATTTTGGTGAGAGCTGGCTGCAAACAAGCCGAAATCGTAAACAACAATTGACGTCAGTAATACGTCCGAAATCAGGGTCATGAGAAGAACGATAACAAGGCTTAACCTTGAGGAACTCACCAACCAATCATAGCGGACTTAACGTGTGCAAATAGGAATCGTGGATATATGGCTTTGCTTTCTGAGAAACGGTCACAAGGAGTACAGAATAACCTTCAGCAAGAAAACAACCAATCAGAAGACGTTGCTTCTCTTCTGATAGTTATGTACATAAAAATCTATAAATATCTCTTGATTTTCTCAATAAACGATCTGTTGCCTAGCTCTTGTCTTCTGTCGTAACAGTATCAGTATTTAAAAAACATACAATAAACTTTTACAGATAATTCTGATTTCATTGGAGAACCTAGTTGAAACAACCGCTTTTCCTTGTTCTTATATAATAATCACATACATAAGGTTGATTTATTTGAAATCGATTCATTAATATGCGTATTTTTCATTTCCATATCACTGCTTGAAAATCATAGCAGGATGGCCAATTTGAACGCTCTACGATGTACGAATCTTTATGCTTTCACACTGGTATAAATATTTAGAGCGACATGTAATGTCCAGTCATTGACGTTGTTTTACCTTGACGATACCCTAAGCTTGAGAAAATTATACGCTGGACTATAAATATCCACTCTCTAGCATTATTATTATTATTATCTAGGCACACATTATTGTGAACCAATATACATTTCACTTATTACTGAAACGTAGAAGATACTTATAAATAAAGCAGTATTTTAAAAGTTACTGATACGTAATTCTGTTTATTAGAAGATATATACCATACTAATATAGAGTAGATAACTACGTTTGTGTACTACACAGCATGTGAATATATATGAATATGTATTTCGTTACACTATAGGAAAGGGATGATACTCATAAATAGAAATTAGTATTAATCAATCTAATGTTATGTATATGATTGGTTTGTTGACTGTTTGTTGTTGAACAATCTAAACACCCTTTTTATAGAAGAAAATATAATGACTAATTTTCCTCACGTCTTTAAAACATTCACAAGTCTGTGAAAAGTTAGTTCCATTCTATAAATATAGACATACATGTATATGTAAATGATTAGAAGAAAATTATAAATCAATTTATTTTTGTGTGTACCAAAAGTGTGATACGAGACACTTCAAACTTGCTAAGTATATGCATTCTGCAAACAGAACGGTATACACTCTAAAGACAGATATGGAATCGGGGAATAGGCTGTTTGCAAAGTCAATGAAGTATTCATCTTCTTGTTGGGCATTTGTAATACATCAAACTACTGCTTTTAACGCTTGCATAAACCTAAAAGGGCATAGCTATCAAAATACAACAAATTCAGATGTTAATTATGTTATTGGCACAGTTACTGCAAATGTGACAGCACTATGCACTGACAAAATAATGTCAGTTGTTGGTCTAATACAGTTGACTAAAGTATTATTACGCTTTTGTTGACTTCTGTGTTTGGAACATTGTATACATGTTACTCATTACATTACCGATACACCCAATCTGGAATGCTACATCTTGGTGAAATAAAAAGTGTAATTCTTTTTATCCCTTGAGTTCTGAGTGTCACATAGGACCTTAAGCATTTAAATTCCACTGGTAATGGTGCTGTTTATATGGTAAGGCGTTGCTAGCCTCACGTACAACCTACCCTATTTTCTGAACTTATTGCCGAGTAGGCAAGGGTTAGGAGTTCATCAACTGGTAGTCGAATTCAGGCTATTCGCCAACTTGGTGAGCATTCTACCCACAAATGACCAATGCACTGAGAATAGCTAAATCTCTAACTAATGCAGCTCAGATATTCGAACTTTTGTTACTGAGTTTTGTAGTCAGATAAGTTATCATTGTGATATCGGTTGCTGTTTGACCTAGTGGATAATGCTTTGGCATTTGTAATGATAAGTGCTGTGTTTGAGTGTCAGTGAGAACACCAACACTCACTGATGATGTAGACATATGCAAAAGATTTGCCACAAATAGGACTATTTTTACATTCTACATTCCACTGCTAGACACTATCAACGAATATGTGAATGCTGTTTAAGAAATTGTGGACTGTTGATGGATGGTATTTGTGTAAAGATCTATCTAGTCTTACAAATGATATGAAAAGTCAGCAAGCGGTATAACTTCCTTTCATTAATGTCTAGACGGTATTATTCATGAATAAATTTTGTTTTTTATTTCCATAGTCGATGCTTTCCTCATTTTATACTTCTTGAGATATTAGCTGATAATATCTGACTGATAATTTACTAACGGCCTTGAAGAAATTTAAACTGGACGCCACAATCAAATAAATAAACATGAATACAAATATAACTCAAATAAACAAACAGACTTCATTTAGAATAATTCGAGTTTAGTATCACTGAGTAAAGCAATTTAATAGTTCATATGAATATAATTCACTTGGATCTCACCATCGTCATTGTTAACAAAGAAACCGATTTTGCTCTTATGAAATCATACAGTGACAAGAATCAGACAGAAACTTTACTGCCTCATTCACTCCGCATCAAACGTTCAGATATACGTTAGGTCACTTTCAAATGTGAAGAATTTATCAATCAAAGGATATATACATGGGAATGTAAGAGATTATTGATGATCAAAACATGCAGTTAACGTGAAAACTGACCTCAATAATTTTATTAATTAGTAAATGACAAAGTGAAAAGTTTTTGGTAGGTGAATAAAACTGTAAAAACACATCTAAGACATAGAATAACACTTCTTAGATTTGAAACTCCAGCTCTTCCATAAGAAAGTAATTGGTCAGTTGGCATTTGAATAAAGAAAACTCACTACCAATTGAAGAATGCAGTAATAGCCCAGTGAATAATGAAAAGTGATGTCTTTTTAGAGTTTTCATCACTCCTCAATCTATCGCAATAGTTTCATTTACTTTCTGTTGGATAACAAAAGTTTTTATATAATAATACACTGTCAAATGTATTTAACTTCCTCTTTAATCATTCATATTTCCATTTCAGTGATGTAAACACGAATATCTGTCCCTTATTAAACTCACATATTCAGTTTGGATTTCTTGATTCGATACAAATTCAGTGTGATTATCAATGGTTCTTAAAATTTCAGTAAACTTTCTTGGTAGACATGAATTTGAGGAGTGTTTGATTAATGAAAGTTTTTAAAATGCTCTATTTTTCTTAAGTCATTCGGCTTACTGGTAAACCAACTGGTCTTACAAGAACTGAAGGCTCACGAAACTACATACATTTCATGTATGGGAAACACTAAGACAGACTAGCATAAATCTAGGGATTTAAAAGACATGCATCTGATCTAGATTAGTTTCTGTGCAGTTAAATAAATGAAATGCTTCTCTTTCTGATGTTACACAATGAGCATGAAATATGTGTTGCATATTGTGAGCAAAACACAAGGCATTTTGCAAAACAAAACAAAACAAAAAAAATACTGTAAGCAAAATGCATTGATGCTGTTATTTTTATAGTTGTTTTAGGTTATTTGCTAACCTCACTGTATTGCTTCGATAGACGCAGAGTGTGCTGGGTCCACAAATCATCTGGAAATGAAGTGATCTGACCTCTCATACGCTGTGCATCTGCATTATATCTAACCTAAAATGAATATTTTTTAAGTGATGAGTTTAAACAAAATGCATAGAAACACTGCATCAGCATGCAGACTTTACGAAAGATAAATTTATTTTGCTGGTTTAGGAGAAACAGAAAGGCGTAATTTCTCCTGAATAGTAATCACATATTTCATCATGGTAACCCACTTATATTAATCAGACAAATTACGCCAAACAGCGAATTTATTGTCAATTGTGAGGAGATAAGTTCTTAGAACAACAGAATAGTTACAATCCCAAGACGAGTATCGATAAGGAACCTAACAACTAATTTTACCTTCTATTGTACGAAATGCATGAATATACTGAACTGTGATTTCGGGTTTGGCACGATATCCATACAGAGAAAGTCCAAATTTTCCAAGTCCTTAAACTTTATCTTGATAAATGTGAGTTTTATGCAACCATATATTATCATTCATAAAGACATTCAGTCTAATATAGAGTTAATTAAATAGCAAACTGCTTTCATTTATCCATATTGCATAAGTTTATTTAACATAACACACATAGAAAACCAGGGAGTACTGGAAAGCTATTTCATCCTAGTTTGGGAATCATTGGCAGTACGTAACCAGCACCAGGGCTCGAACCCAGGACCTTCTGGTTACAAGGCAAGCTCGTATACCATTTAGCCACTGATAACCGATTCAGTGGCCATCCCATGGATTCTAAATTTTACCAATTCATGATTTCACGCTACCATCAACCAATATCATCAGTGCGACATACGTCCTCACATTTGACTGGATGGGCCCCACTGGTCACCACTTCTCACTAGAACTCCAGGAAACTCGGTTTGAGCTCCATTGAGTGCGTGATACCGATGATTCCCAAACAAGGATGATGAAACAGCTGTTCAGTACTCTCTAGTTTCCAATGATTCTCTAGCTGATATCAGTCCGTGGTCAAACTTGTTAAAACAAATCTAATCCTTGCAAACCAACTATTGAAAGTAACACACATAGGTACGGTACTGATAACTAAATGACGTTATGAGCACAATTTATTGCTCATAATTAATATTAGTGTATCCACACACCTTCATAATTTGCTTTGTAAATATACTTTTTTCTTTCCCTTTTTGTTTATTTCAACTTTCTATATATCCAGTATAGGGGTTGCGTGTTTACTGTTGATTCAATAAACAATCGCAGTAAACCACATACGGCAGAAAATATATACTTGTATATACGAAGCAAACAATGAAGTCATTTGAATACACTGATATGCTGATGAGTAGTAAACTATGCCCAAAAAGTCACCTGGTTATCAATATTGTATCACTGTGGGTTATGTAAAATAAGCACATCTATTATGGAATCATATTCTACTACAGTGCTAAAATTCTACTCTCACATTAATGTTGCTTTGATTTTTCTAGTTCAAAGTCAGTGGAATTTGAAAAATAGGATATCACAGATTTTTGATTAGTCGATCAAAAGCCTAAAAGTGATTTAAACTTGTAGGTGAACAAATAATCATGCTCAATGGTGTGCATACAATACAACTCTTTTTTTCAAAATTTTCTGTAACATTTACAAACAAACAACAGATGGGTGCTATACATTCCGCGAGACTATTTCTTCTATGTGTCTTCAAGCTTTTAAGCATGCATAACTTAGGCTTAACATACTTTGAGATCACCACAGTTGCGACGATATAACACCTGAATTGAATACGATAGGCATTTTTTTTATTTTTATGTAGTTGAAGAGAAGAATAAGTTTATTTTGTTTACACACAAAGTTAAAAATGGCGGATATCACATTTACAAAGTTCTAGAGGCTTGAATCAAGTGTGAAAACATTTTGCTTCCTTTTTCTGTACAACAGATAAATTCTTTATCTTACGAAGGTTACTCTTATTAGCGTGCAAACCTGAAACATTCTACTTCGCACATATCCATATCCAAATCACTCAAGTCTAGCTGTCTCGAGGACTAAGGTAAGGAGGAATTCAACCTCAGATATAATTTTTTTAGACAATAATAGCCTAGACGTAGGCGGATCAGACTTCGAATTACCCACTTCATCCCGAAGTAGCCAACTAAGTGAACACTACAGGATCATGAAGTTTACACAAAGGTTTCAGATCACTTCAGATCTTATCACTAATCGATATCAGCTAGAGGATCTTTGAAAACCAAGAAGCAGCAGACAGCTATCTCGTTTTACTCTGGGACTCTTCGGCAGTACGCAAGCATAAAACTGCAAACCCCATGTGTGAATAAATGCATCTGGTTTGAAGATCAGTTAAGCGGACCAATGTCATTTACCTACCATCGAGGTTATACGCTCACGATAAGCTTCAAAATACAAACAAGTCATATAACGTGCCATTCAAAAGGCGACTTCACTTGTATAAAGAAATAAACTATTCAAATTGTATGGGACCCATTCACACCGCTTGCATTGCAAAATTAGAGTAAGTGAAGTAAAGGATTGACCTTTGAGCAGACTATTAAAAACTTTGTTGTATACACTAATGAGTCACAACTTCGAATTTAGGTTAAATCACTTTGAAATATCGTACAATTTATATATCATAAATACATTTGTTATGAATGCTTGACTCATCGAGAAACACAGAGTTTATCCCACACATTCATCATTTGGAAGAGAGAGGTTATCCTGCAAATAGTTAAAGTGACATAGACGGGAAAAGTTTGTACAACACTTACACTGCTAAACATTTTTGTGTTACTTGTTGCTCTTAATAATTCTGGTGTATCGTAGATAGAAGTGAACGTAGTTGGTTTCGGATTGTGTCTGAAAGAGATATTTAAGTAAGAAGAAAGAAAGAAAAATGTTTCTAATATTCTGACCAATGAATTACAATTCAAACCTACGCTACTCACAAGTAGCTTAAACGTTATGCACAAAATTCTTCTTCCTTATTGTTTTGAGATGTCTCTTAGTTAGTCATCATCTTAGTGTTTGAATTATCCATCAGATTCCATGCAATACATAACACACAATACGTGTGCTTCTAACGTACATAAAAGTAAAAAATGTGAGCGTCAAAAAGGAACAAAACAAGTTCGATGAATTTTAATGATTACTAAATAAAATGATGAGAATTTAATCGTAAAATTTGACACCCACTGAGAATCATATAATTAATTTGATTGCCACCATGTTAACATAGGCTGTATTCTGACATGCATGTTAAAGACCGACTGAAAAACGGTTCAAATGAATCGATTTCCGTAGTTTAGTTTTAGCCTCTGACGCAAATCATATTTGAAAACTCACATAAAATACTAATTTAGATACCCTAGGTTATGCGGTGAAGTGCGTGTGTATACCTATACCAAGAGGCAGGATGTTTTCAGTCTCTTACTACTGCAATCCAAGGAATTGTGTACACAAGAACTCATTACATATTGTATTACATTTCTTCTGCATCTTATAAACTTATCCTAACTTCATCACAAATTATAAAGCTGAAACATGATATGGATACGACAGTGAGAAACCTACAGTAGCTAATTATTAATTGAAAACATTTATTTCCCGATACGAATTTAAAACAAGCAACCTTTATTTAAAATTACCAAATTTCAAAAACACTCACGCTGTACAATATGGCCTCTTATCATATCCATGATAATTCGATACACTCAACGCCATTCCGCAGTGTTGGCAACGAAAACACTTTCTGTGCCATACCTTTATAAATCATGTGAAAAACAAATGAGAAAAGTCATAAAGCGAGAACAGTTGGTGACCAGCAGTAACTTCAATGTATAAAAAACACTTTATCGATAAAAACGTATAACAGTAGGCATTTGTCTTCACTTCAATGTTAAGTGAAAATAAAATGTTTTTTGAAAAAAAACGATTAGGACAATGGAATGTAGATAAATAATAAGCAGATGTGGAAAAGCAAAGAGAAGGTAGGTACATTTTATACAGCTCTCTTGCTCTCTCTCTTAACTGAAGTATAGCAGACAATAATGAGAACTGAAATTCTAAGCTTCAATAAAGTGGTTAGAATGAGAACCACACATCCTGCAATGACACCATAGTTAAGTTAATAATAGTTAAATTTACTCAGAATAAACGAAACAAATGCAGCGAAATTTTTAATACCTGTTTCTTTCAAATATACACTTCTAAGACAGTAAGTCAAAATACACCGAAATACACCAGTTTGTGCAGAACAACATGGTTAATCATTTATATCGCCGGTTTCTCATCAGCTGCATACAGCTTTGTGTACACAACAATTTCCAGGATATAAGTAGCTAATGAAAATCGGATTAGATAAATGATAGCACCATCTTATTCTGCACAAACCATTGTTTTTTTCTGTATTCAAGTTCAAAAAGGGAGGTATATGAAGTCAGCATAAAGTGTTATTTACAGTTTTTAAAACACAACAATCTTACTGGTACTGTTAGAATGTCAAGAAATGCATTTTGTAAAATGTGATGAAACGCCAGAAAAATGAGGGAAATAAAACTAAAAATAGAAGCCAATGAGGTAGAATACGTGATTAAAGGAGTATTGCCTATCTTTCCTGACTTTAAATTTGTGCTGAGAAATAAATTAGAAGAAGCAAGATATCTTATGATTTCCATGTTTGGGGGATAGTAATGATATTTTAGGCCACACATTACTGACCGTCAAATATAGAGATCTGTTGCTGGTCATTTAGAGTCCAAAACTAATGTCTTCTTCACCGACACTAACGAAAGGGGGAAAAGATAAACAGTATCTAGAAATCCTTTAGACATCTTGTCGTGTTCTGAAAGTACTCGTGAGGTATTTACACTGCTTACAGCTAACTGCGTCTAGATAAAAGCCATCAGATGCACTGTTCTGAGACGTCTTTAAGCGTCAATTAGAAAAGCCTAGTAAGAATCACTTGGCTATATTTCATATTGTGTCTGAATAGAGCCTGTGGTGGAATCATAATTTCAACCATGCTAGGATCAAAATTTGTGCAGTTGATATTTCAGAGTTTTCAAAAAGTGCAGTCTGGTGGAAGTTTGGTGTAATTATGCATAAGAGTTGCAAAATAAAACGATCAAACCATTATTCAGGGACGAATGAAAGGGAAACAAAGGAATATTCTCACGCGATTTACATGGCCGCTGAAGATGGTGAAGAACATAGACGTATATATCGAAATGGTTCAGTCTATTTTACAGAAAAACAAGGTTAAAGAAAAAGTGGGGAATGCAAAGTACAGAGAGTTGAAAGACGCAATCATAGCCTTGTGTTTTTGGTCGAATGCACAGTAAAAGTATTAGATTTTAACACTATCTGGCCCCTATTTCTCCAGAAGGTTTGGACACTGTCTCCGATTACTGTGTGGAAATTCACATTATATTGTAGTCTCTGAAGTTAAGTTATTATTTAGGGAATGCGGAAAAAACTTTTGAAGGATAAATTTGTAGCTATATTTAAGCCATGATATTTGTTATCATGAAAAAGAAATGCAATTCTACATGTACCCAAATTACTAACAGTGTCATCAGCAAGAAATAACTTAGTATTTCAAACCATTTGGTTCAAATCTGATCCCCTTTTGAATGTACAAAATAATATAAAACACCACACGCATTGGAACGAATTTTCCTTCCAATTACTATCCAAAATTAACTTATCAGTTGTCTCAAGCAGTTTTTATGATATTAGAAGACTGTGCATAACTCGCACACAATTCATTTCAAGTAAATTACTAATTCTGGAGCAGCTAAAAAATACTGCATTATTTCACTCTGATCACTTCAGTTATAGAACGTGAATACATCAAACTAATGCTGACTTCTAAGTCTTTTGATTGTAGTAATGACTAGATGTAATCAGTGTTATCGCCTGATGATATAGTGATTAACCACATATTCGCGATGTCAAGGTTTCTCGATAGTGAACCTTCTGATTATTTTGAAGGTATGAATCTTTGACTTTGAGTTGTATAGCCATCAGCTAACGTTTTATTTTGTTTCAGAGTGAGCAGCTGATAGACAAGCTTATTGTTTTCATTCAAGTAACAAAAACCAGCGTCATTTCGAGTAATCTAATATTTTCATGGCAGTGGTACGCACAAAGCATCAATAAATAATATTAATAGCGGAAACTCGTAAACAATAGGGAAAACGAGATTTTACTGTGTTCTTCCTCAAGAAGAATAAAATGAGTAGCTCAATGATCAACGCGTTTGAGTAAGCTGTACTGGTGTGGAGGTTGTAATGTATACTACAAATATTATTAGTGTAAAGCGGTAGGTAGGGGGTACAGGTTAGACTTTTAAATATACTTTCCGAGGTATAAACATCAAAAAAAGAATGTCAAAAAGTTCATTTTTCCTCAGCATTCTCCATCAATGTGCTTCGAATATAAGTAGCCTTAATTTCCTTTAGAAGTATTACTTTTTGTGTTCCCACTGGACCATGACGAGAAATGTAAAATGCGATTTTAAACTGCCCTTATTTGTGCGATTTATTTAATATTCATGGGAAGTTGAAAGTACCAGCAAGAAACTATACATTTTAAAAAGCTTTCGGAATAGAAAACTTCTTTCACCGAAATATGTGTGTGCGTCCTAAGATTCACAAATTATTTGTACACGAAAAGGATACGAATACGTAACATACTTATACGCTAACTGTAGACGTATCTTATTTCGTGTGAAATCGATGTTTACTAGTTGCAAATTTTCCATCTGTAGGTGATTTAATAACATATTTCTGTTGTATAAAATTTAAACGCAGCATAGGTGTAGGGAATATATGGAATCATCTGTAAGGCCGCAATAGGATGAAGGTGGATTGGCCCTTGTAACTTCACAATCCTTAAGTGGTCGACCACCATTGCTGGCAGGCCACATTTGAGCTAGTAAGACCAGATTTTTGGGTGACGCATTTCATAAATTACAGAGAAAATATATCATGAACACACTATAAACACTAAGATTAGGAAAATAAATATCAAATAACTCAGTGGAGTTTGACTGAAATCTGAGATACCATTCTGTCTATGGAAACTCAAATAAAATAAATTATAGGTAATATTTTAATTGAGGATCCTCAAGTAAAATTGATGCAATGTAATTAACTTCCACCAAGCACTACAGTTAAACATCAGATTATTGTGCGACAGAAATATATAAGCATTTACCTTAAAATTCTTGAATGTCAGTACAAAATGTTGACTAACCTGATCAGAACACCTAATCACTTCGAATGGATATACAATTTCACCGCAAGAAGCACAGTCCTTATTATTATTCATTCTGGAGTCTAAAGTCGGTTTCTGATTTGTATGTTACGAAGTGATTCTCCCGTACTTCGTCTAAATTCCTGACAAACCAAAATCAGAAAACTGAAATGAACACTGAAAGGTGATCAACTATTCTGATGGATACAAACAATCAAGGTCACAGTTCAAAAGCCAAACCTAAATATTTACGTTAGCCTGAATTCTCAGGTAAATTACCGAATTTTACGAATTGAAGAGCCTGAAAAGTGCTATTTATCTTCAATGCGTGCTATGGTTTGTTGATTTTGACATCTCAAGGAAGAAGAGCTTTCATGAAGTATACATTTCAAGGCAGAAGTATTGATTGCGGTAGTTCTCTTCACTGTAGTACCATAAAGTGTCAGTTGCCTGTGATTATCTACTGGCTTCACACTAAATTTAGCCAAGAGAAAAAAGCCTGGTAGACCACGAATATTTCAGTCAGTAAAGATACGTATTTCCTGGTTTGTTCACTTCGCATGATATGATATGGCCTTGTTATGGTTATGAGCAATAATTTCTACTCGAAACGTCATCAGTAAATATTATTGCATAACACTGCGTGATTTATCAAAATAAAATCTTATCCATAATGGAGTTATTCTCTACTACAGTGCCCAAATTTTATACTTAGATGATAAGCACAGGGCGGTTGGTAATTTCGCTTTGTGTGCAAGTTAGTACCTAAAAGCTCATGAAGTATAAAGCCGAAATTCGTTCAGACTTTTGTACCATAGTCGTGACACCTTGCCGTTGGATATTACAAATACCTGCTCCGACCTCCATCATTCAACAAACGGCGGGATTATCTGTTCCACTCCTTTCTGCTGGTAAAATTCACGTTGAGTAAAGACCGAAAAATCTAGAATGGGATTTATTTCACTCACTCCTGAAGTACGTACAGGGTACCTTAACCGTGATGACCACTTTCTGATGGAATCAGTGAAGAAAACTGTTATATAGGTAAACACTTTTGATGACACTATGCATAGATGGATTCAGAGACCATGGAAACTAGAGGCATCCTCACTGGTAATCCTTTGTCAGTGTAAAATGTCTAGATTTAACTTAGTATTGCTATAGAGCAAATAAGGACTGACATAGTGGCTTGTAAGTGTTCAAAGTGGCACATTTCTTGTCTTCGCTTATAGTAAAGAACATATCAATACTTAGAAATCAGGTAAAGTCTGCTGAAGCATGTGGCACACATACTTGATAACTCTAGTCCCTACAAAACACTAGGCATCAGTAAAAGTGATAATTCACATACTGTGCTTCCAAATATCTCCCTTCTAGTAACCTCGGGTACATTTAAACAGGGTTCTTGGTGAAAAACTTTGAACCTCCATACTAAGAAATAAGTCTTTGTTTCTTACTTGCCATATATTTCATGCAGGCCTCTAGTTTGAAAACACAGGTAACTGTGACTTGGCTGACAATTCCTTGTTGCAAACAATAAGGGTAAGCAAAACGATTGCTAAAAATGAGATTGGTGAAGCCTTTCTACTTCCATGAATTCGAATTCCCCGAATCTAACGACATTGATTCACTTCATTGGGAAACGGCGTGCATAAAAAATTGTTAGGATGAACAGAGGGGAATTAGCGCTTGAACACTGCAAATTTAATTCCCTTGATCTAAAAACATTCGGCACTTTGCAGCGCGACATTTACCCCAGTGGGATAAGTCCGGTATGCATCTAAATCTGACTTACCTCCATGACAGTAGACCACTTCTTAGCGAATTAGATAGCAGTTACCTGCCATTTTTTACTCAGCGTTAAGAGTTATGCAATCAACCACTCTTGGTTTAAATGTCGTTGTTACGCACTGAAGACCCGGTAATAAGTTTAAGCTGTGAGGAATTTCCATCGGTATAAAAAAATTACTGTGACTATTGAGTGACTAAGATTTTGGAAAAGGAGAGCGGAATTAGTTGGGATAGTGGTGATTCTGAGAAATTTTCAGTCCGTTTCCTTGCACACATAATGTCATTTGTGGTTGCGCTTTGTATTGGACCTCTTGATAATTTCCAGAGGGAAAACCCAGGAGTGAACTTAAACTTTGCTGGGTCAAGCGCTCTTCAAGGAATCTCGTAAAGTCCAAGTGAGATCCCTCTCACGATCAACAAGCTCGCACTTTCAATGCTTTGCTGAAGAGACTGGGAAATTAGCTTGGTTTGCACAGGCTTACGAAATCAGTGTTGAAATTTGATGGAATGTGATGCACAGTTGCTGTATTTCATCAATTAAACATATATGACATTTAGCTGTGCGAGTCATTTGCAGTGTAATATTAGCTTTTGAAGTTCATGTTCTTAGACTGATTTTAAACTCATTTAGATGGTGAGGCATTCCTGCCACTTGTTTAATGTAATCTTGTCTTCAGATGTTTATGCATACTGACCGACTTGACAAGCTTTAACTGGATCGACAAACATGATTCCAAACACATTTGACTTCTGAATGATCCAGCGATTGCGCTGCTTTTGTCTCGCTTGTTGTCTTAACTAAACACGGAAGTTTATGACTCAGAATAATGGTCTTACCTATTTAGAATCATCGAACTGTGATAACAAGATTGGCTTTCCTTCCTAATTGCCAAATATGTGGCCAAACATGCACTGATGCCACCAGAAACTCTCAACGAAAACACTAGATAAAAAACCTCAAAGTAATAGCTGAACCAAAGGGCCGGATTGTTCCTCACTGGATGTCAATCTCCAGGTCTAACTACACCGGACTTCATACTGTTCTTCGAAGACTTCAGGAACTATGCTCAGTAAACCACGCAAAAACCGGAACACTAATTAGTGATTCAAGAACCCTTTATTCTTGCTTCAATACAGAGCTAAACATCCGGTTACTGTACACAAAGTCTAAGAATAAATGTCGTAAAGATAAATCACAATAATACTTCTTATAGTTTCCTCTCTTCAAACGAACAGCGAACGATGACTGCAGTATCGATGAGTCACGCCAAGGTATGGAGTTGGGTTTGAGCAAACAACCATGGATTGATCTTTCAATCTTCAACCACATTGATATTCCATGGCAAAAAAACCGATCCATTCTTTCCTTCCATTACGACCAATACATGTTGACTTGGATGCCATTGCGAGAACCTGGGTCACACGAACAGAGCTGAAATGGAAAACAAACAGAAAAGCCAACACATTACAGGCATACCCACAGCACAATCTCACACATCGGTGACGACCTACACCTTCAAATTAAAGGTATCCTCTTGATATCTTGTGACACAATCGCCACTTACTAGAATGATTCTTGCAGAATGCAACGTGACCATAGCACCACCTCATGATACTCTACGCACATCCTCTTATCTACTCACTACCAATTACCACTGCAATCGCTTGTCACTCATTCTGCCTCAATTCTCGTAACGGTGACGTATGCAAGCCTCAGTCGTCTACACTCTCGCTCCCCGGTGTGTGGGACCACAGCTAATCACTATCTCCGTGTGCATGTCATTCTCAGCACTAACATCCCCGGCGTACACGACCCATCTGCTGACTTCAACACCAATCAACACATTCACGGATGTAGAAGACAAAAAACAAATACAGAAGTAAGCACGATGAACAATTTAAAAAAATTACGCAATAACAACAAGGTACGAAAACAACGAGTAAACACAATGAATCCAAAAAACATCAATTGATGTGACACACCACACATATATACAAACAGTACACACAAACTCGCAGATCGTGTCTCAATGTAATTCCTTTGAAGAATTTCAGCACCTACACCTGTACGCCTTCAACCTTTCTCAGGTTGACGATTGTAGTTTGAAGAATGTCCGGATACAATCAAGACTAACCAACAATTACATCAATTGGAACCCACTCAGTTATTTGGCACAAACATATGTATAGTCAATACATCAAATGTTGTAGATTCTGCCATGACGAACTACCCTTGAAGAACTGTAGGACTTACAGCAGTACGCCTACATTCCTTCTCAGGTTGGTGATCTAAGTGGAAGACGTCCAGACACAAACAAAATTATCAACAGACAGATGAAAGATGATACCGATTCAGTATATACAACATGAACATATGTACAAAATCACACCCCAGGTACGATGGACTGCACTTCGACGTACTACCCTTGAAGAATTGTAGGACTCACAGGAGTACGCCTACAACCCTTCTCAGATTGACGCCCTAGGTTGGAAAATCGTCGCAGAGGTCATTTGCTGACTTCCTTGTATTATCTATATCCTCAAATATGAATGGTGACACGCCCACGTCATTATACCGTAGAATATAGATGGCTAACAAACATACAACATAGCAGGCCAAACAAACGTAGGCACAGAGTAATTTACACCAACGATAATAACATTCAAATAGTAACTTGAAAGGCCTTTATTCCAGCAAGTCAGTTTGGCAACTACCCTCTCGTACACACTTGACTTATCCTCCCTAAACTGACCATCGACTTTCATCCTTTCAAACGGACTGATACTAGCATAGTCACAGCACAAGACACTTGACGTCATGGACATCCCTTTCATTGTGGATGACAACACCAACGACGACTGAGTGACACAATTTGACGAACTTAGCAGTGCATCAGAATCTGTCGCTGTTCGGCTTTTAGAAGGTTGTCTAACTGTAGGATTACCACCACTGCCATTTTTTATTATTAGCTTCAATTTAGCATTAACATCTGTTGATAGGTGGGCTACACGCTGATCATTTACACTGACGGTCTCATGAGTATCCATACCTTCTGTAACCGCATCGGCCTTTAAGTCTACTTCACATTCAAGTTGTACAGAACCTTTGTTCAACTCAGCAGAAGTAAGCATTCCGCTCATCTCACCATGATCAGCCAAAGACAAATGTGCACTATCGTGATCATTATCACAAATTTTCACTTTACCGTCGTCTATCTGGTCGACTTCATCATTTTCAAACTGTTTATTAACAGCAGTAGAAGATTTGGGTTCTTCCCCACAAATCCTTATAGGTTCTATACCTTTACACTGACTGGTAACACCTTGTAAAATTATGGAGTCAGAACTGGACTCTGAAACTGTAACTCCCTTCTTCTCAACAAACTGCGGTGTCGTC